CAATGTAATATCTATATGATTATATTTAAACAAATTTATTATATTTTACCAAAATGAGGATAGTGATAGGTATCCTAGGTAAGTACCTATCCATATTGTTACTAAAATAATTTATAATATCAACAGCCTATAAGTGCTCACTGCTGACCAAAGGATGACTGAGTAACGTATCACTCACACGGAAAAGGTCCTATGAGCATTAATCGCCATGCTTCCCACTTGGGGATTAGACGTTAGCGTTATGTTCCATGTGTGCCACTCGAGGAAGGGAATCTACCTGCCGCAATATATCGCTAGGTCGACGCCTGTCGAGTATGGTGAATCTGCAAGAGCGTTCCGGGTCTCGACCAAAGGCACAGGAGGAACATTGCGATGGTTTTAACCGGAAAGACGGGCTTTAACGGCCCACCCATGATGTGGGAAGTGCATAAGGATTTCCAACGCGTTAAAATAAAATCACCACGCTTAAGGGTTTATTGTCAATGTTAAACTTATTTAAAATTATTATTAGGTCTAGGATACTAATGTAAGGCGACAAGGACAACAAGACAAGAAGGAAAGGTTCGTGTAGGAAACACTGTAACATTTTTTTGTAAACTAAACACGACACCGATATCCATATTACCATCGAGGATTCTGCGACAGAAAAACTACAATATCCCTGAAAACCTGAATACCTACATTTTATTATCGAGGGTGTGGAAACCAGAACCATGTGCTTCCTTGCCTAGTAGTCGCAGCTAAAAATACTATAGTAAAAACAATGTCAAATTTTGTATATGTTAAAACATTTAGTATAACGTCCAAACACCTCGTCACACCTTCTAGTAGCATCAGTGAGACAATTGAGCTAATTATTTAACGGGGAATCGAGCGGTGCATCCTTTTATATACAAGTCGGACTGGCAGCTTCAGGTGATTATAATCCGGAGTAAGGCAGTCAGTGAGAGAGCATTGTAAGTACATCTATAATGATTACGGATTAACTCGTCGAGTACCGGTTTTATAGACACAATTAAAGAACAATAGGTCGCGGTCACCGGTGACCGCTTGGTGTTTGACAGATTAAAAGTTGAGTTGCGAACGAGCTGAGATCATATAAAGGAATGTATGACGTCTGACATTGAACCAGTAACGAACTTGGGCCTGGCTGCCAAGTGATGAAGGAGGCACTCAGTTTCCCCCAACTTGTTGCTTGTAAGACTCAGTACGTATCGTACCCAGGCCCATGAAGTATACAAACACACAATCCTATTCATGTATGAGGTAGGTAGTTGAGAGCGTGCCCCCTTATCTTACAAGTTTGTACAGGAGGTAAGTAGAGGTCGCGTAACTAGTTCGAAACTCGCTTGCCTAGGATACTAATGTGACTAGTAACTAGTGCAGTGGCGACTTCTCTTTGTCAGTATGTGGAAAGTGGAAATTGATTTAAGCATACGAAGTCATGTTATTATTATTTTATCAAGATTTCGTAAATGTATCCATTTGCTCGTCATTACCTCTAGGTTAACGAAGTTTGAATGTTAATAAAAGACAAAAATATTCTTTGTATCTTGCACTCGATCTTCGTTTATGGATTTAATTTACTAATTGTAAACAATATAAACATATGTTTATGTATAGTGTATGTTGTATTAAAGTAGTATGTTGTGGAGGACAGATGGCAGCGCCTGTAAATCAACTGTTGACAATGACATGAGAATATCGGTGTCGGTATCGTGGCGGCGACAGATCATACAAATATAGTACCTAATCGTAGTACATTAGTTTTAGATAGATCTTGCATATATTTCACCTACGTTTGACCTTATACATGGTACGTTGTCAGTCAGTTACGAGTAGAGACTTCTCTGTGGTCATTTAGCTCCCCTCTGAACAAATCGCCCCATTACGTCATTACGTCCAATAAATGCAATGCAACTCTAGGGTACCTACCTGGTTAGTGGCAACGATGCGGCTCGACATTCATCCTACCAGATATATTCGACTTGTGTACTTTTTTATTGAGTCCTATATATAAGAGAAATTTAAAAAAAACTGCATAATTCAGCTTCCACTTAAAATTAGTTATTAGCAATTAAGTAGGTAGATACCTACATTAATAAATAATGATTATTGTTCCGTAAACGATGTAAACAAATATTAAGGATAAACATATTGTAAGTAGATAATAAATTATGGCATAGTATAATACTGAAAACACGAAGTAAGGAATAGTTCGGTCTCATTCTCATTGTGACTTCAAAATTAACCAAGTAGGTAAGCAGTTATCTGAGCGATCTGCCTAGTCGGTTTGTGTGAGCTAATAGTAATAAGAATACCTATTAAAATGGTTGTAAGGTTCAAAATCAACAAATAATAATAGTATGAAATATAGAGTGAACTTTGACCTATATTGTTAAGTAAGCCGCGCCGAAGGTTGACGATCCCCAGTTAGCGCCTGTGCGTTGGAGCTCGAGTATTCTAGATCGGTCCATTTGATCCTGGACGCTGCTGGAGAGCTGTGCTGCGCTCCGTGCTCTCCAATTCATCTGAGAACAAGTCACCAAGTCAGTGGGTCATCATGACAGCTGCTACGCCTGCCAAGCCACCACCACCAGGTCAGTGATAGATAGTTCATGCGTCGGATTATAATAATCTTGTAAAACGCCCCTATGAAGACAATGTCACAACAAGAGTGCATCCTGTGCATCACGGTTGAATTGGTTGTGCATGATCAGCTAATGTGTACAGTTGTTCAAGTAGCTATCTATTAATATTATGACGACATGTGTATGTAATTGATATTTTCGTAATAGATTAATTACTTAGCGGTTATTTTTGCCCCCGTAGTAGGTGGTGTAGATATTGATCGCGTAGTCTCGCTAGCGCCGCCGTGTAGGTGTTCTTACAAACAGTTGTTGACTCCTTAGCGACTTGTATTGTGATCGCGAAATCTTTTGTTTTGTTGCCATGCTCTTGCTGGCGTATAATTAGGTCAGCTAGGTACCTACTTGTGAATACATATAAACTTCCTCCCTACTTTTCTATAGAAAGTTTGACGGACTTTTGGAAGCCTTCTGTTTCTTACTTCTAGTTTTCATAATGAGGGCAAGGGGTGGGGTATCCAAAGGGTGTGGCACCCCCACCTAGTGCTACTGTACCTACTTACAAAGCTCTGTAAATATTGACGCGGAATAGTTCCAATTTCCCTACCACACCTAACCAGTTTTAGCTGATGCTGCCTTAAACTGACCTTGTCTTTGTCTTTGTTTTCAGAAAAGAAAAAGACAAAGCCCAAGCGTCGCAAGCGCAGCCAGAAGAAGAAGCAGAAGGAGAACGGTCAGACAGCCCAATTCAACTACATTATGGAGCGCCCGCCGTTCACAGAAGTTGAAAATTAATTTTTCAACATCTATGTCGTAATACGCAGAAATGCGTCTATCCGTGTTACGCACTTCTTTTATTTATGTATCTACTTCTACCGGACAGTAGGCGGGAAAATGATCTCAAAGTCAAGACCGATTAAGTGGGGAGTTCCGCTGTCGGGAGCCGCAGATTGCAGCGGTCCTGTGGACATCAATGGAGACAAGGAGGGCTATGAACATCACGGTTTGCAGAGTGAAGATAACGGAGAGATTATATGAGATCAGTTTACATAAGGGTTCGTCACAACAACTGGTGGAGATTAGGTACAAGAAGGATTATCACCGGGCGACAGTGTCCTTTGTTTGAAGTAGTAGATACAAGCTGGTTATCGTTCTGAGTAGATTAGGTACTAATTCTGTACGCCTATGCTTCTAAATTGTTAATTTTGTCAGTGTTGTGAATTTTCTGATTATAATATGCATCGTAGCTGAATAATGTTGTTTCATTTAATCAAACATCGACCTGTAGGAATACTATACCACAAGCAACATTTCTGTTAAAATAACACATAGGTACTACAGGTATCCAGTATAGGTACACCTACTTTCTTTACCTGCACAATTACTACAAATGTCAGTGTTCTGCTGTCTTCTAGCATTTCTTTCGCTCTTTGTTGTGATGAGGGACCAGTGGCGTAGCGTTTTAGTTTTTCTTAAGTTTCTGCGAACCTTTCAATGGATGCTTTACGCGTGTGAATTAAACATTGGATTTTGGGGAACAAACACAGTCCAGGGGCCCCGTTTAATTCATACGGCGCTAGCTACCCTGTAATGGACATGTTATCTCGACTACCCATCAATTTTAAAGATCCCTTTAAGTGTACTGTATACACATTTTTTTACTGGGGTAAATCACCCAATGACTTCTCACGCCTGAAGTTAGGCGACAGGCGACTCTTACTGACTAAATAAACCAGCCCGCTCCTACTTCTGCTCTTTGAGCCGGAGAGTGGAGACGAAGTAACCAGTTGAGTTGTCTGAGGCTCCATAAAGTGTGTAACAGGGCCAAACTCAAATTAAAAAGCATGTATTTCAATTATTATTAAACCATAATTACCATAGCTCTTGAAACATCAACAAATATAAAATAAGTAATAGTCTGTTAGTGAAGCTAAGAGCTCGTTTGAAAAAGTAAGTTCAGGAGAATAACAACCGGCCACATCAGTAACCAGTAGTACACCATTTAAATTTTAAATTTTAAGGCAGTATTTAGCTTTAGCTTTTCCATTCCACCATTATAAAAAAGTCATACCTTCATCAAAGCATAGTATTGTGAATAGAGCTATACTCAGCCCCAGAATAGGACTCACCTGAATCTGTTGATACTTGTGTAATTAGACAATGGTGCTGGCTAGTGATAACACACTCTTCTCAGAGTAGTCAAAAGTGCAGAATTTAAAGTTAACATATTATGTGGAAATGTTACAAGACTTGGTGTAAGTCTCTGTTCTGTGAAACTGTAGAAAGTAAAACATTTAGGAGTCTGTTTATAAATAATTTATTCTAGGATCAATAAATAAGGTAACTTAATACAACTCAGTAATATCTAATAGTGGGATTTCTATTTGGCCAAATAATATTTCTTTGTTTGTATCACAGTTTCAAGTTCATCTCCCCTACAGCAGTGCTCAATTCTTCCAAACTCTTGAACACATGTTCCTGCTGTGGCTCGGGTGCTTCATCCTCCAGGTCAGGGTTGACCAGGAGAGCATGCCAGCCAGCAGCTCGAGCCCCTTGATAGTCTTTCACAATATCATCTCCTATGTGAAGTGCTTCTGATGGTGTTATTGGCACCTTGCACTTTTCAATAGCACTCTTGAATATCCTCTTATCAGGTTTGCTGTATCCAATCTCATAAGATGTTACAACAAAATCTAAATGTTTCTTTAAGCAAACATTGCTCAGTATATCATTAAGACGAGGATCAAAATTTGATATGACTCCCACACGTATTCCAAGTTTTTTGAAGTGTTGTAATAGTTTTTCCCCTCCAGAGGCGCACTGCCAACATTTTTGTGTTTTAAATTCTTCAATGAGCTGCCGAGCAACGGTGTTCACATTCGTCTCACGTGGAAGATAGTCTTTCAGCGTCATGCTAACTACTTGAGTCCACCACTCCTCCCATTCTATGCTTTTTCTTCCAAAGTTGGGATGTTTTTCCCGCATAATCTGGAAACTTTTTATAAACTTAGCTTTGACTTGTTCTTCATTACCTTTGAACCCGTAGTCCTGGGCGACTATGGCGTAATACTGCCAAGCAGGCACCTTGAACTGCAGTAGAGTGTTCGTAACATCAAATGTTACTAACTTGATGCCACGTAAACTCATAATGTAACTGACTGATCTCAATATTCTTTAAGTGGCACTTATTAATCGGTTTATAATTTGTTTTTCTTTTTTTATGTTTTTTACTTTTTTGTTTGTTTTTATTTGTTACTTTTCAATTTACATAGTGTTTTATTTGAAGTTGACAAAAATGACAATTGGTGAATTGAGATTGACAACGACATTACGACAAGTGCCTAATTTTATTATAAATAGTAGACATTTTGAACTAATAGAATAATAGGTACTAATTTTCCAATAAGAACATTACTACAATAGTAAAATCACATGGTTCGACCACTTTCTATTGTTTAGGTTCAGTAATATGTTCCAGATATGTATAAAATTAATAGTAAAATAGAAGTGTAACTTTGACCTATACAAATTTCGTTTGGTGCAACTAACCTTTATTAAACGTCACTGCAAATACTGACAATGACTTTTGTTTGAGATAATTTTCTGTCTGTCAGAAGAATTTGATCAAATCAACTAAACATTGAGCAATAACAGTTCAAGGAAATATAATTATTGTCGACTATAGAAATTAATTTTTGTTATTGACACGAAAACATTTGAAAAAAGTGCAAAACGGTGTGAATTATATCCAGGAAAGATGGTGTACATTAAAGGAGGTAAGTGATATTGTGCTTACAACATGTTGATTCCATTGGTCCAAGTTCTAGAAACATTAGGTATAATAATGTAGGCCACGTCAGTAAATGTGGATAATATTGTATCGTAGAGTTATGTTTTCAGGAAGTCGGGATTTTATCTTAATTAGCCTGCTGCCCTCATTATCTTGGCTTGCTTGAATGATTAAAGAGTAACAGTACCGTCAGGTATTATTGTTCAACCCAATAATTAATTACTTCACAGAGATTAGTGTTTGTAATACTTATTTAGAGTCACACCCACACAATATTCATAAAGGAAATGGTTAATATATCTGTATCATTACTTGAATATTAAAAACTGTGCCTAAATGTAATATCTTATAAACCAGTGTATAAGCAATGTATTGCATAAATAAAACACAATAAGTTGTGTTTGTTTACAGATGGGACAGTGGTGGAGCGCACCCCTTTCAGCTTGTTTGGATGGTTCTGTGGCATTGTGAACTTTATCTTCTTATTGTGAGTATTCTAGTTAGTTGTAGATTCCAGATTTATCATTCTATTCTATTGCCATTTTTACAAAACACAACTAAACAGAATACTGGCTTGCAATGAAAATTGCTTAGGAAAATTGCAAAGGTTTATATTGCTACTGATCTTTGAATACTGGAGTGTCAATATTGCCGTGGTGTAGAGTGCACACATGCATATTTTATACTTCCACATTTTAATACAATGTTATCTACTATATAAAAATCAGTTGGATTTTCCTTCCTGGCGCTATAACTCCAGAACGCACAAACTGATTTCCACAGTTTTGTATTCATTGGAAAGGTCTCGGGCTCCGTGAGGTTTATAAAATATAAAACAAAAAAAAATGTTTCTTCATCTTTTAATCACTAAACAAAATGTTATATAAAACAAAGCCACCTGGTGGCGAAATGGAGTTTGCCGGGTTTGCTAGTTGTATAGAAAAATTGTAGATAGAGTAGTATTTTAACTGAAGTTTCATACATCATTGATTAGGAGATGTAGACTACTGATCAAAGGCCTTACCTACACACAAAATAAAATTTTACAAACATGCCAATGCATTCGACACCAGTGGCATAACTATACAGTTCAGGCCCCATGGCTAATTCATCAAATGGGCCCCAATCTATATATATAAAAGAAAGTCGTGTTAGTTACACCACTTATAACTCAAGAATGGCAGAATAGATTTCGCTGAAATTTGGTAGGGAGGTAGCTTAGAGCCAGGAGACCGACATAGGATACTTTTTAACCAATTTTTTTTTTACTTTTTTCCGAAAATCACGAACGGGGACGGGGAAAAATGGGATATACGCGTACGAAGTCGCGGGCAGGAGCTAGTTACTAATAAAAATCAGAAGTTCCAGCTGGGGACCAGTAGTATTTTGCACATTTGCATCCTGCAGTTACGCCACTGCCACCACTACTGAAAGCACACGTCAATTTATGCTGTTGGGGTGTACACAATGATATAACCCAGTAGCATAAACAAATAACACCCAGTTTTACCATAATTATGGCATATAACATAACAATTGCTATTAGTAGTTAGTTAGGTATGTAGTATTTATATTCTGTCACAATATGTTTCAGGTTCCAGACTCTGATCAACCCTAACTACAGCAAGCATGGAGACAAGTATGTGAGAGACTTCAGGCCACCAGGCAGCGGGTATGTACACCATTATTCATTCTTTAGTGAATATCTTTGTTCTTATAATACTCAGCTATCTGACATTCTTATTTTAACAGATTTCAAAAAAAGAATGAGATTTTTTGTTTGGCATGTATGTTATAATGTATGTTGACCTGCGATTATTTCGCGATTAATTGAACTGAGCTTCTATTGTGCGATGTTGCACATTAGATTAAAAAAATCTCAGTAGTAGCACGAAATCTGGAAATGTGCCCGGTATATTATAGCAATAGGCTCACCCCCTATTACATGGGACTCATAACATAAAGTAGTCAAAAGTGGATGATACATTGTACAGTGGCATTAAGTGCTGTAATATGCACCTCTGCTTATCCCTTCGGGGATAAAAAGCGTGAAGTTATGTTTATACAGTTACTTTTAAGTGTTGCATCACATTAAGTAAGGTTTTCACTCAGTCAAAAGTCACCCACCACCTCACTCCCAATATCTTATTACTTCATATCAGGTATGTTGTTGTGGAGGAACCCGACATTTCCAACAGCAGATTATTGTTTCTTCATTTATATTTGCTTTTTACTTATGTCATTTAGAAGACAGTGATAATGTCCTGAATCTGACAGCTTTAAGACCTAAACTCCATGATCAAACATTACTGATATCAAATAGATATCATTCTGAATACAAATATATATAATCAAAATGCCTATCAACATCTACTTTGTATTGACTTCTATTGCTTGCACTTTCAGGCCACCAAAACCACCATCGAGGAAGTTCGGCGGCTTCGGACCCTCGGGCTCAGGTCCCTCTCCACCTCCAATGGGAGGATGCGGTTGTGGGTAACTCCAATAATACTATACACCACTGTAACCAAGTAACTTTATATAACTATAACAAATAATGGCTTCTAGGTTTAACAATTTAAGCAATTTCTCATCAGACAGACTTTGGACTTGTATTACATACATTTTATGTAAGAAAATCTATAAGCATGCATGAAACAACCATGGTGCTATAACATGTATTACAATACTGTTAATCTGCAATACAACAGTTAGTTATTGTGGTAGGCATACAGGTCAATCTGTATGTTCACAATTTCAAACAGGTCCCTGGATAATGTTCTATGTGCAATAGATAAGCAAGATGTGTGGTCAACGCCACATTAAGATATTTAGATCTGAGTGTTATATAAGTATGTAGTGAAATTTTCACTTGTTGTATTGCCACTCAATTTGCTCGCTACACTGTCTCAACAACACCACTTATATATTATTTCGATAAATATTCCACATTTATTTTTCTTAGATTATGTTAATTTAGTTTTACTAAAAATACTTAATGATTCCTAAAGTTAATTGTTTAGTTGAAAAATAATACAAATATATCTTAAGTTTAAAATGATAAATTATCTGTTATTGTCATGTTCTTTACAAATTCTTTATTTTCAAATTCTCTATTTCATATAATTATTTTGATGAATCTTATTAAAGCATTATGTTTAATCAATTATTTATGTTTATCCTCAATTTCCTAATTTCATTTCTGAAATGTTAAATAAAACACAGTTTGCATCAAATAACTTGTTTATTAACACCACACAACTATTGTATAGACGTCGAAGTAAATAAATAAAATTAACTATAAATACCTAAATGGTCTATTTTATTCCTATTTCATGGCGGTCATTATTGAACCTAGGCAGGTAAGAAAACCCTTATTTCCGAAATATAGAAACATTCATGAATAACAACATGATACATACAGACTGTTGGTAGCAACTGCACCAACTGTTAACAATGAAGATAACGTATGGCGCGGTATTGGTCTAATAATCTACTTGTCTACAGTTATGGCCTGCACGTGGCTTAGAAATAAAATAAAATTATCTTACATTTAACTTAGTAACTCACAATGGAATTCGCAAGATGGGCAAGTTATCTATATTTATATGTTTGCAGGAAAATCTAGCTGTCTAACTATATCACACATTGTTCTATTAGTACTCGTGTACTGAAATATTAATATTATTTATATTATAAAGTAATTTGTCTATATTACTTTACGGACGGACGGTTGAACTACTTAAGTTATACTCCAGGTGCTGATATTACCATTAGATGCTTACATTGTACTAAATATTTAAACTCAAATACTGAACATAGGAATGGCGTGACCGTCGGTAGTCTGAACATATCTACACTATTACAACACTTACGTTGTCTCCACTCAACGTTATTTCTAAACTACGCTAGCAAGAACGATTAAGTATTCCTAAATAATCTTTATACTACATCGGTCGTCACACAATGTAATTGTCTACGAGGGAGATAAATTTATACTTAATTAACGTTCCACTATATGGTGTACTTTGTTCATGTATCAAGGTTATTGCAGAGCAGTATTATCCCTAAGGCAAACTAGGCAGTCGCCGAGGGTGGCAGGTTAGTGGTGCGCCCATGAGATATGCACCGCACCTAGGCAAGCGCCTGGGGCGCTCTCTAAGTTTAACTGCCTCTGGGTTATTGTATAGTGAAATCTTATTGATAATCACGTGTTGGATCGCTGGTCTAGTAGTCTAAAGCGGAGAAGGTGATAGGCAGCACAGCGACCGGCTCCGAGCACTTTGGCTTGTTGATGTAGATGCTCCATGTCCGCTTGTCAAGGTCGAAAATACCTGGAATTACGATTTATAAAATGTCATTCCATTGAGGTTGGTTAAAGAGAATTATCAGAGAGGCTCTGGTGTAGTGTATTCTTGTCCTTAAATATTAGGTACTTTGTTCTAGGCGAGTACAGTACTTGATAAGACTCAAGTGCCGGGAAACATTTGGTTTAGATATGTTGCTAAACAAACAAATGAAAGAGGACAAACAATAACCTTGTTAGAATACAGGGTGAATGTATGTACTAACTGTAAGCAACGTACCTGCTGCGATAGTCATGATGATGTCATCAGGATGATCCTGGAACAGGCGGAACTCCTTGTCGCTGGTGTCGGAGATGATCTCCGCCAGCTCCTTGCGAGTTTGTGGCTTGGGGTAGCTGTGGATCACCCTCAGGCGCGCCACACTGCTGTCTATGATGCGGCCGGTCACCTCCGTCAAGTTGGTACGTTGGTATCTGTACGCAGGTACACGTTCAGTTACAATAATACAAGGAAAGAAAGAAAAATAATCTACCTCTATAACACACAAAATCGAATCAACCGAAATGTTTGTTGAGATAGGTACATTTAATACATTTCGCTGAGCTTGCTTGTAGCCTAGGTATTTAGGTGACATTATAACTTGTGGGTAAATGTACACGCTAAAGATTTAACATTGCAAAGAAGGCGTCCTTTTAACCTATCTATTGGTAGCGCAGTGACGTCACTTACTTGTTGGTGTGCACCAGCGGTTCCTTGTCGTACTTCTGCACGTTGAGGTGCGAGCGGTCTGCCTTCAGGTCGGGAGACACCTCGACGTTGTATATCTGCCGGTCGCCCCAGTTGTTGGTCCAGATCATGTTCACTGAGAACCCGTTACCTATGCCCAGCCCCTGGTCCAGCAGGATGTGCTCAGCTTCCTCAAAGTTCTTGGCTGCCAGCATGGCGCGGGTGATGAATGTCCTGGCTGGATACCAATATGATAATAATAGTATAAGGAAAATATATAACTGGTTAGGATTGTAGGATATTTCATTTAGATTAACAGGCTACTCACGTGTGTTGCCGTACTTCAGGATGAGAGGGCTAAGGGTGTTGATGGAGAAGACCAGCCCGTTCTCGTTGTAGCCCATGGTGTACCCGGGCATGTGGCCCGCGTAGCACAGGGAAGCAAATCGTTCCTCTACCGCCTAATCAATAGTTCAGGTGATTTAGAATAACAATTATTATAAAAAGTCGAAACTAATATTGTTAGTCGGTAGCGACATTAATTAGGGTCTTACATTAAAATTAAGGTAATCCATTTCTATATCAAGTAGTTATTAATAAATGATGCTTTTCGGAAAACTTATTCCGTAATGGATTTAATATAATTTCTATACAAAAATATTTTCAAATCACACATCAGTAAGGCCGGCTGTAACGTGGCTACTGTGTTCTCTTAATGTAGCATTCAGTAAGTATAATATAACAGTCCCACGGTAATTCTGGTTAACTAACACGTGGATACTCTGATACTCACTCCAGCTTTGACGTCCTCCGGCGAAGGTTTGATGTGAGCATTCATGATGTAGAAGTGGTTCAATGTCTCGTGGAAGGCATCCTCTGTGTGACCCAGCAAAGTCTGGAAACATTACAAAAACATATAGTCTCAATAAACGTAATTGAGCATGTCTATCTATACCTCTAGTATATACCTTCATATAATAAAATCGTAGACAGGTCAAAACTATACATTGAATATTTTTTTAAATGATACTTGGGGCATAATCTACAATCGATACCGAAACCAAAAATATAGTTTTTAGAATTTTTGTCTGTTTGTCTGTATGTATGTCCGGGCTAAACTCAAAATGTACTGCATAGATTTACTTCAAATTTTGCATGAATATTACAAACAGGTCAGGTCAACATATACATATAAACACACTATCACCTACCGGAGAGGAGCTGTGAAGAACTATCCAAAGTCACTATTCCACGCGAACGAAGTCGCGGGCATCTACTAGTAAGTAAATAAGTTGCCAAACATAAAACCTCGCGCACACTATGTCTATGCATGGGATGTGTGGGTATGTGCGGTCACACATATATTTCTACGAGTTACGTTATCGAGGCCCCTGTATAAACAGGGAGCGAACCATTTGTCATGCTGGAAATATTAACATCTGTGTTATCACCGTGTCCTTATACCATTACTACTTTGGACACCTCACACATTTTCCTCCTACTCCTGTGTACCTCACTGGTTTATTTTAAGTTGCTGTGCCCGACAGGGTTCATGATTGTTACGACTATATTATTCTAAGATCTGTGCCTACATTGAAGAATGGAATAAAGCAATTGTACTTGATTTTCCACTAGATCAACGTTAGTTGCTTATTTGTATGTTACACGGAACGTCGTCTTACAGTCTGCGAGTTCTTGAACGCGATGGAGCTGCAGCCTCCGGTGTCATTCCTGGGGATGTGGTTGTCGTTCACGTTGCCGATTAGGTCATCCATCTGCAGCAGGAATAGCTGCCGGGAGACAGAGACGATCAGAGATATGCATCCACAAATAGCTATTAATAAACATTGCTATTCAACAAATGGGGTGCATAATATCTTTGTTAAATATTGTTTTGTTTGGATTTGCCAATGAAATGGGATATATGTGTAGATAGTTATATAGAGACATATTTTATGGAATAATTTGAAGCAGGTAGGTTAGAAAGCAGCATTAAAAACAAGTTTAGTATTTCAGACCTGTGTGAAGTTCACGTTGGCTCCGTCAGCGACTCCCTGCATCTCCTTGACGTAGTATGGGTACTTCTTCTTCATATTTGCCAGTGTTGTGTCGTAAGCCTTCCTGCCAGTGTCTGTGGCGTACACTTTCTCGAAGTCGCGCAGGTTCTCATATGTCGCGATGAAGCTCTTGATGATCGATGAGAACGTGCGGCCCTGGAATGTATTTGTTTAAATGGAGAGCTTGAATTTTTAACAACACGCATATATCAGTTATCTTTTACTAAGTCATAGTAAATCGAAGAGGTAGACATAGAGTTACATTTTAAATGCAACACCCACTCTTTGTCTTCACCAGTCCCTGAGTCTATTCAATTCCCATTCTTAGGACTACAGTGTGTAGGGCACTTACGACATCATATCCGACTTCGTAGTGTGTCCCGCTGACGTGGATGACGGGCACAGCTACTCGCCTGCCCAGCGGCTTCTCACTCGATGCGCCTGGAACAAGTCATATCATATCGTTAGTTGAATTATAGATTTATCGTAATTATAGTCCAAATCTATAACTTTAATTCTCAAATGTTTATCATAAGAGTATTAAAATATTTTGGCAAGTAACAATTTTGCTGTTGTTTTTTCTCCTCTGGAGTTGTGACATTTATGTTACTAGACTTGAACCTAGTACTGTGCCCAGCAGCCATGTTTACTCACGCTCTTACGCATATAAGTCAAATCGCATTGCTCTGCCAAGTATTGATATATGTACCTACTTGAGTAGACACTGATAGAAGGCAGATCAGTTAGTACCGGATACTTAAACTTATCTATACATAATTATGTAATCAAACTGTAGGTAGTATTCTGTACGTAGGTACAGACATTAATGTAGATTAAATTGCATCGGCGTAACTTAGTAAAACTATCGATATATGACTACTGATGATCTTTTTTATTGTCACAGCAGTCACAAAAAAATGTAATTATAATAAGGTGTATTAAATGAAGATCGAGGGCTCAGGCAATAAGGTAATATCTACAGAAATAATAAGATCGCTGTCAGTAGCGGCTGGTGAGTTACTAAAATATTAAAATTAGAAAATGCAACAAAACAAAAACTGAGATAAATATGTTTATTTTTTATACCTACATTAAACCAATGCGACGACATTTTTTGAAGCGAAACGTTTAATCACATTTTTATTAAAATCGGGTATTGTTTGTATGAATTTATTTTCAATACAACAATAATTAGCGGCGCTCGCCAACCGACCCATTACTCGGTACATTTCTAAGAACGATCTTTCGTCGCATGCGTCAGGCGTGTTAACTCGTACTCCTACAACTTGTATTAGCACTTTAGCAGACCTCGTGCACTCGCCGAAGCGCACGAGATTTTGTCTTTATAGAAAAATAAGTCTTACCTAATAGTTTAGTAAAGCACTCAAACTGTTTCACCATAATTGAGGATTTGGATTTTACCTATACGTTTTTGTATGTTTAAAAATAAATATTAAAATAGTAAAATAAAAATAAAGATGAAGAAGGTACTTAATATTTTGTAATTTTTTAATCTTTTGAATTGGTGGTTCAGCGCACGAGCGCACTTAAGGTCCAGCCGCCACTGATCGCTGTAGTTAAATACAAAGGAGTTCAATAGTTAAGTAGCGTAACGAAATTATGATTAAAAGCCATTTTTGTGTAATCAAATAGTGAAATAAGTAGTTGTTGTATTTTATATCTGTAATCTATTTTAGAAAACTTGAGTGAAACAACGATTGCTTTTTGTTTCCTCGTGTGAGTGAGGTTACCGAATGCCTAATCCCGATCCCTATCTCTAATCTCGCCAATTTCCCGAATCCCCAACATTAGGTACTTAAATTCTTAAACTCCAAAAGGCCAGTAATGCACTTGTAACGCCTCTGGTGTTTCGGGTGGCCATTGGCGGCGCCAATTGCTTACCATTAGGTAACCCGTCTGCTCGTTTACTGGCTTACCCCATAAAAATATTTTCATACCAGGTATCCTTCTAAATGTTACGTAGACGCTGTAACCCTGGGTCGTATATTAAGGAAACCTCGTAACCAACTAGCATTTCATTGAACGACCGAAAATGACGTAAAACCATGCTAATTTAATGTTTGAGTTTATTTAAATGAGATGGTACAAGTTAGTTGTAGTCACATTTTGTCCACCTTCAAGGTCCACTCGGTCGCGGAAAGAATTTGTGCATCACACGAGGTGAACTCACTGCTTAGCTGGCAAGGTGACTATTTGACTGATAGTTTTTCTATTTGTATGTATTAATAGAGGTGACTGTCTCGTTGTCTGATCCAAATCGGTGGCAGGAATTATTAGGCATTTTTCAGTTTTATGCTAAATCTGATTGGTCTGGAGAATGAGCCTGAAATTGTGTTTTATATGGCAATAGCCTCAGACACAACGACATAACGTAATTGGCAAAAGGTGAATATTACAATATTGAAAGATTTAGTCCCTTTGGGGAGCAAAGGCATAACGTGATGTTACGTTAATAAGAACGTGAATAGAGAAGTTAGCTAATTTAAGAATATCTAGTTTCTTCAGTCTCTTGTTAAGAAAAGATAAGGTCCGTCAGCTTTGTTCCGGAGATAAGTTTATTGATAGATGTGCGTGTGAGCAACGGCAAGGAGGTAGTCATGTCATGCATGACGTCTGATGGAGAACTGAGGATGAAGACATGTTGTGGTGTCGTGTCTTCTCTGACTGATTTTGAGACTGACATTACAAGTGATGAAAAGATGTGCAATTCGCGCATCAACTGATAACCATTTTTACGGAAACATAATGTGTAAGTTAATAATATTCATATTCATATTCATTTAATCATTTGCGAACATGGGTACATAATATATAGGTGTTTTTAATAATAAAACGTATTGTAAATATTTTAGGAGACATTTTAGGGTTCTATTGTTGCCACACATTGTGCCTGGGTATCAAACGGTCTGGCCTTCGATGGTTATCAAACATTACGCGATTTTTAAGCTAATGTGAATAGTATTGTAATTTTATGCAAACTAAGTACGGATTAGAATTTAAAAACAGTTATTTTGAGGAAAGATAAAATATAATTACTTACCTTCCTCGGAACTATGGGTCACATTGACCCAAAACTGAAATGGAACTGATCGTAAAACACGTAATTATTTCTTTTATTTACGACTTCGTGACAATTATTAATGTTGTATTCACTATATATTAATATTACACAATAAAAAGGACCTAACATATTGTATTACATTAGGTAAATAACAGTAGACCTTTTTTTCGAAAGGTAAGCAGGACTGGACATAAATAATACAACCCGCCTCTTATTCCCGTGTTCAAGGTACTACTTGAACACACTAAGACCCATTTGGTAGGTAACCTATTGCTTTACACGGGCACATTTGTAGAAAGTCAATTTTTCGTCACCAAAAATCAAAAAGCCATGGTACACTTTTATATTGCATAGGGATATATGGAAGAGGCGCCGCCCATGACTTAACTGAACTGTGCTCGTATGCACCGAATGCAAATCAGAATATGGTGAATTTGACCATCCAGGTCGAGAATCATGACCAATGGGTAATTTCAGACTTATTCTCACTCTACGTTTTCTACTAGGTACATTTTCCTCTATCGTACGTAATACTTATAGCTTTTCATGTTCATTTTTCATGTTTTTAAGGAATTTCCAGAGGGAAATGTCAATGTGCCTATTTGTATTTCCAGAATTAGTCAACATCGCCATGTTACTCGCTTATTTTGTAGGTACTAACAACATCATTTTCTTTGCGAATTGGATCCATTGAAGCGAAATTACTCCCTCCGTTATTAGTAACAGTGCCATTAGAATAAAAATCTATTATACATATAAAAGAACGTCGTGTTAGTTACACTATTTATAACTCAAGAACGCCTCAATCGATTTAGATAAAAATTGGCGGGGAGGTAGTTTAGAACCAGGAGACGGACATAGGATACTTTTTAAACAATACTTTTTTTAACATTTTACCGAAAATCACGAACGGGAACGGGGGGAAAATGGGATTGCGCGTACGAAGTCGCGGGCAGAAGCTAGTTAATAAAGTTTATGTATTACTCGCATTATGTAAATCCGTAACATGTCGTAAGTATCAGTGACATTGGCGTAGGTCGCGGTCGCGGGAGGTCCCTCTAATACATCAAACCTCTGAATGTCATGTTACCGCTCGAAGCTCGAACTTACATTTTGTGGTTGTTGTGCAATAAGACCTCATTTGTGTCGTAATGTTTACCGGCAAAACGGAAGAAAATGTCCATAATTAATTCCGAATGTTAAGACGTAATTACACATGATTAACTATCTCACTTCCCTGTAGGAAAAGTGGGGGAGTTTGTGAATAGTTTAAATTTAATGAGTCTTCGAATAAACTAATTATTTTAATATCGATAGTAGGTTCTGTAACGCCCTAAAAGTAGTCTTTAGTAATATCTTTTACTAACTATTTTTATTATACACACAATTATTGCATTACATTACAGACAAACGTGAGAACAAAGTAAGATAAACAATAAAAATAAAGTAGGTAGGAACACCATTTGTCTAAAACGTAGTCGTGTAATTGACAAAGCGCCACCTAATACAAACACATACACTTGAACTTTAAAAATCCCCGCCACTTAAATACTTGCTAAAAGAAGAAAAACAGAGTAAATCTAATCATGACGTAATGGCGGAATTATTCACAGCTGAGATACGGTTGACTGTTTGAAGACGTAAACAAAACACGAGTGAGTGATATCCATGCCGCAAGAGTGATTCTTAACAATGGACATATAACCTATGTACTATATAGTACAGGTGCCCATATACCTGTCAGTGCGATATTTATTCAACCGACCCATACAAGCACGCAGCTGTTGTAATGATAGCCAATTATCATCTAATTCAGTCAAAACACAAGGACTGTAGGTTAAATGTTGTAACTATAGTATTTTGAAGAATGGAGTAGGAGTAATGGATATCAGAATGAAATTGCATTTCGCCGTCCACGATTTTTTAAACTTTATTTTTTATGAATCAAAGCATTATCCTTATGATTGAGAGATTGTTACGCAAGCACCTTAATAACTTTTCAACTAATATACTTCTTGACTGTGGCAGTGACAGAGTTTATCTCAAACTCAATAATAATACATACATACACATACAGTTCAAACAAACGATCGATGTAATTGCTGACAATTAGACACAGCTGTTACAAACAACAACAAAAAATAATACATAACAACATGAATGAATTCAACTCACCGTTCAATTCTCTCATGGTTCCGTTAAATAAATCAAAAAGAACGAAAATAAATAAACTATAGGACGGACGTTAGAAACGGACGCGATACGAGAATCAACAAAATTTAAAACGTTTCTATTTTAATTCTCGACTGATATTTTATGTATTTCGTAACTGCGCCGGCGACGGACGGCGATACACTGC